ACATAAAGTGGAGCCAGGTTTGTTATTTTCACTCACATATGCGCTGTACGACTGTTCCTCAAACACAGGTGGGTTGTCGTTGATGTCTGCTACAGATAACTGAACAGTTTTAGAGGAGGACAGAGGTGGAGAGCCCTCGTCAGTGGCAGTGATTGTAATGTTGTAATCAGACACTAGTTCACGGTCCAGTTGTCTGTGCTCACCACAGAATAATAGTTTTAATAGAAGGAACCAACTTAAAAGGGACATTCTGTTGAATGGAGCAGCGGACCTGTCTGTTAGTCTCAGAGTCTCTATCCTGCACGTTAATGATGCCCACCTCTGTACCAGGTGACACGTTCTCAGGTATGGGGTTAGTCAGTGATTTCAGGTATATCACTGGAGCATTGTCATTCACATCACTAACATCTATTATAACTTTGGCGTATGAGGTAAGACCTAAACCATCTTTAGCTTGCACTCTCATTTCAAATGAACTACTTTCCTCAAAGTCAATCACACCAGTTACTTTAATTTCTCCAGATTTTGGATCAATAAAAAAAACATTTACCTCTTCATCAGACACGTGACCAAAGTGATAAGTCACATCTCCGTTCACTCCTTCATCTGCGTCTGTAGCACTTACTTTAATCAAAATAGTATCTAAAGGAGAGTTTTCAGGTAGACTTGCTTTATAAACGGCCTGACTGAACACTGGGGCGTTATCATTAGCATCCAGTACAGTGACGTGTATGACTACAGTACCTGATCTCTGAGGAGAGCCTCCATCTAAAGCTGTGAGGAGCAAATTGATCTCCTTCTGTTTCTCTCGATCAAGTGTATTATCCAGCACAAGTTCAACCTTATTGTTGTCCACTGATAAAATGAAATGGTCATTCTTTTGGAGGTTGTACCTTTGAACAGCATTTTGACCAATATCTGCGTCATGGGCCTCCTCGATAGAAAAGCGGTTTCCCTTGTCAGCTGACTCGCGTATTTCCATCTCAATCAAATTTTCTCTGAATTTTGGCGAGTTGTCGTTAACATCTTGAACATGAATACTGACACGATGAAGCTCCAGAGGATTTTCTAAAACCAGATCTACTTTAACAACACACGAGGGTTTCTTGCCACAAAGGCTTTCTCTGTCCATTCTCTCCGATGTCATCAAATCTCCGGTATTCAGATTGATGTCACAGTACCTTTTCCGAGTTCCCTCAAAATCCAAACGGGCCTGTCGAGAAACAAAAGTCCTTAGATCAAGACCGAGATCTTTGGCTACATTCCCAATGACAGTCCCGCGTTTCATCTCCTCTGGTGTGGAATAACTCAGGTCTCCATTAACGAGGTGCAACGTTACAAAGAAGGATGTGAAGAAGAAGATCGGACGAAGCAGTGAAAATCCTTTGTCTGTCATCCTGACACAAAACGCGCTTTCGGACGTCACAACTTCTTGTCTAGAGCGATTCAACACTATATCCCACAAAAAAGGTCAAAGACTCAATACTGCAAATGATGCCTCGGTGCCCACAAACCTGTGTTTGCGGATTCAACCCTCTCCTGGAAAAATACAACTGATATTCATTTGGTGTTAGTGGGTGGACTTGTTCGTGTTAAGTTTCTGTCAGCCAATAGCGACACCATGAGTCGCTTTTTATCTCTACACTCTTATGTGATGATATTTTCTGCACTCAGTCCATAAAAACCACAACGACATATTAACTAAAGAACAGAAGCCCAATAAACAATATATTTCAAATTATTATTGATAAAGCACACAAAGCAAGATACAAACGTTGATGATGAGGGAGACAATCGAATGCAATAACAACATGTAATCTTGTCCTCATCACTTTAAAACTTACTCAACTTTAATGTAAACACTTCATGTCATGATCAAAACATTAGCTTGCAGCTACAGCTTAACAGAGATGCAATATTCAGCACCATGGACAGCGGTAGGAGATTAAGTCATTTCAAATGCTTTTTTAAAGGTTAGAACAAATATCTAAAAAAAAACCTGTTTAAAGTGTAAGACCTACAATAGTCTTCATAAGTGTAGAATGACGAACAGCAAAATATTTTAAAATTGTGAAACGAGTTGTTCTTTCTGGAGAAAACAAACACATAATATATTATGATACCTACATTAAATGACAGATAAAATAATAATGCATAAATGATCAAGAAGATCTTCACTATTCAAACTCCATTTTTTTACTTGGATGTCACTAACAAATACAAAGTTTTATATTGAAGACGAGAGGTTACAAACCTTGAACTTAGCCGCCTCCATAGGGTCAATAAAACGGAGGCGATACAATTATTGTGAAATAAACAAAAGAAGAATTTGCTAGTTAATTTTTTTTTTTATTTCCACTGAGTCTACTCTCTGATTTTCTTACATGAGTGTTTTTCGCTAAATTATAGATTTCTTTTATTTTTCTGAGCCAAAAACAGATATACAAAAACCATCTTATAACAAAGATTTCTTTTAGTGGAACGGTGAGCCACTGATTCTTTATTAAAATTTGCAAGAAAAATTTCCTTCAGACTGTCATTTTTAAAACTTCTAACATTTACTATTATATAATGGCGACTAAGCTGAATAATATCTCAGAAATGTAGAAGTTCAAATATCAACACAATAAATACTTAAAGTCTCAAAGAATTGTACACAGAAACCGTGCTAGAGTGAATTAATTTAAAACATTTAAGCCATAGTCAATGAATTAACTCCAGCTAGACCAATCAAAACAAATTTAAAAAGTGATAAAGAGTTATAACTATTGAAGTCGTTGGTGATTAGCAATGATTGTTAACAGCAAACAATGCATTGCACTGCACAGCTATTTTTCTCATTGCAGAGAATATAAATGTAATACTGATTACATCTATCAAAAAGACTCTTTCATTTGTAAGGGACAGAAAATTAATGTCTCCATCACTGCCTAAGTTTTCTAAGAAAACAACGAAGGCAGAAACAACTCACTGGTCTTTATCTACCGTGAGATTCTAGTATCCAAAGCAAAAAATGATTTCTCATTCAAGAAAGTTAATACTAATCCACTTGTACAACCACTCATTCAACTATGTAAATTACTTTTTGACATAAGTTTCCATGTGTACCTTTATGAAAAAAGACCAAAATACAGGATCCATCTAAAACTGCTTTTAACAACAGAGTGGAAGTGACACAAAACTAAATACATTTCATGAGCTAGTTAGAAACGACAGGAAAAACAACAACATCACTTTAAATGTTTCAGGCGCTTTTAAAAATAATTTAATACCAAGTGAAGGAACATTGCTGCTGCCATAAACAAGAGTTAAACAGCTGGTCAAGCAAGACAAACTCAATACAATAAAACTACTCTAAAAAGGTCCTACCTCTAATGAAGTATCGAGGTCTTCAAAAGGATCAGCAAAGTCAGTAGGGCTTTTCCTCAGAGTCAGGTCAGCAGGCAGTGTGTTGTCATTGTAAGATGACACAAACTTAAAGTCACTGGTTCGAGACCCTGTCGTCAGGTAGGCGTCATAATTGTAAGCGCTGCGTAAAGTCCCTGTGCCGTCAACATCTGCGTAATTAGGAGGAAGATAAGCGCTGGGGATGGCAACTGCTCCGTCAAACAACAGTCTGGGCTTTCTCCTGCGACAAAACCTCACACCCATGATGATGATGATGAAAGTCAGAAAAAAGGTGGACACACACACCAGCGCGATGATCAGATAAGAGGTCAGTTTGGAGTTCTTCTCATCATAAGAAATGTCCTTCAGTTCTGGCACCTCAGCCAAGTTATCAGAAATCAGTAAATACATGGAACAGGTGGCAGACAGAGAGGGCTGTCCGTTATCTTTCACTGACACAATAAGGTTCTGTTTCATGCTGTCAGACTCAGAAATGTCCCGCTGGGTCCTGATCTCTCCGCTGTGGACACCAATAGTGAAAAGTCCCGGATCAGTGGATTTCACTATATGATAGGACAGCCAGGCGTTCTGTCCGGAGTCCGCGTCCACCGCTATCACTTTGGACACCAGAGAGCCTCCGTGTGCAGCTTTGGGGACCAGCTCGGTCATGAAGGAGTTGCCCTCCGGGGCGGGGTACAGTATCTGAGGAGAGTTATCATTCACATCCGATATGAACACACTCACGGTCACGTTGCTGCTGAGTGGAGGAGAACCGTTGTCTCTGGCCATCACGTGCACTTTAAAGCTCCTGAACTGTTCATAATCAAACGACCTCACAGCGTGGATCACCCCCGTGTCTCCGTTCACTGACACATAGGAGGACACCGGGGCACCGTTCACCTCACCGGATAACAGAGAATAAACCACTGTACCGTTCTGTCTCCAGTCGGGGTCTCGAGCACTAACGGAACATAAAGTGGAGCCAGGTTTGTTATTTTCACTCACATATGCGCTGTACGACTGTTCCTCAAACACAGGTGGGTTGTCGTTGATGTCTGCTACAGATAACTGAACAGTTTTAGAGGAGGACAGAGGTGGAGAGCCCTCGTCAGTGGCAGTGATTGTAATGTTGTAATCAGACACTAGTTCACGGTCCAGTTGTCCTGTGCTCACCACAGAATAATAGTTTTTAATAGAAGGAACCAACTTAAAAGGGACATTCTGCTGAATGGAGCAGCGGACCTGTCTGTTAGTTTCAGAGTCTCTATCCTGCACGTTAATGATGCCCACCTCTGTACCAGGTGACACGTTCTCAGGTATGGGGTTAGTCAGTGATTTCAGGTATATCACTGGAGCATTGTCATTCACATCACTAACATCTATTATAACTTTGCGTATGAGGTAAGACCTAAACCATCTTTTGCTTTCACTCTCATTTCAAATGAATTACTTTCCTCAAAGTCAATCACACCAGTTACTTTAATTTCTCCAGTTTTGGATCTATAGAAAACAAATTCACATCCATATCAGATATGTGACCGAAGTCATAACTCACATCTCCGTTCACTCCTTCATCTGCGTCTGTAGCACTACAGTAATGACAATGGTATCTAAAGGAGAGTTTTCAGGCAGACTGGCTTTATAGACGGCCTGACTGAACACTGGGGCGTTATCATTAGCATCCAGTACAGTGACGTGTATGACTACAGTACCTGATCTCTGAGGAGAGCCTCCATCTAAAGCTGTGAGGAGTAAATTGATCTCCTTCTGTTTCTCTCGATCGAGCTTACTATCCAGCACGAGTTCAACCTATTGTTGTCCACTGATAAAATGAAATGGTCATTCTTTTGGAGGTTGTACCTTTGAACAGCATTTTGACCAATATCTGCGTCATGGGCCTCCTCGATAGAAAAGCGGTTTCCCTTTTCAGCTGACTCGCGTATTTCCATCTCAACCAAATTCTCGGTGAATTGTGGCGAGTTGTCGTTAACATCTTGAACATGAATACTAACACGATGAAGCTCCAGAGGATTTTCTAACACCAGATCTACTTTAACAACACACGAGGGTTTCTTGCCACAAAGGCTTTCTCTGTCCATTCTCTCCGATGTCATCAAATCTCCGGTATTCAGACTGATGTCACAGTACCTTTTCCGAGTTCCCTCAAAATCCAAACGGGCCTGTCGAGAAACAAAAGTCCTTAGATCAAGACCAAAGATCTTTGGCTACATTTCCAATGACAGTCCCGCGTTTCATCTCTTCTGGTATGGAATAACTCAGGTCTCCATTAACGAGGTGCAACGTTACAAAGAAGGATGTGAAGAAGAAGATCGGACGAAGCAGTGAAAATCCTTTGTCTGTCATCATGACACAAAACGCGCATTCGGACTTCGCAACTTCTTGTCTAGAGCGATTCAACACATATATCCCACAAAAAAGGTCAAAGACTCAATACTGCAACTGATGCCTCGGTGCTCATAAACCTGTGTTTGCGGATTCAACCCTCTCCTGGAAAAATACAACTGATATTCATTTGGTGTTAGTGGGTGGACTTGTTCGTGTTAAGTTTCTGTCAGCCAATAGCGACACCATGAGTCGCTTTTTATCTCTACACTCTTATGTTATGATATTTTCTGCACTCAGTCCATGAAAACCACAACGACATATTAACTAAAGAACAGAAGCCCAATAACCAATACATTTCAAATTATTATTGATAAAGCACATAAAGCAAGATACAAACGTTGAAGATGAGGGAGACAATTGAATGCAATAACAATCTTGTCCTCATCACTTTACAACTTACTCAACTTTAATGACAACACTTCATGTCATGATCACAACATTAGCTTGCAGCTACAGCTTAATAAAGATGCAATATTCAGCACCATGGACAGCGGTAGGAAATGAAGTCATTTCAAATGCTTTTTTAAAGGTTAGAACACATATCTAAAAAAATGTTCCGTTTGAAGTGTAAGACCTACAATAGTCTTCATATATGTAAAACTATGAACAGCAAAATATATTAAAATTGTGAAAAGT